GAGGCAGGCGGTGTCATGGGAGGCAGGTGGGGTCAGGGAGGCAGGTGGTGTCAGAGGAGGCAGGCGGTGTCATGGGAGGCAGGTGGGGTCAGGGGAGGCAGGTGGTGTCAGGGGAGGCAGGTGGTGTCAGGGGAGGCAGGTGGTGTCAGGGGAGGCAGGTGGTGTCAGGGGAGGCTACCTACCTACCTTGAGGCTACCTTGAGGTGCTTCCGGGGCTTAGTGTCCCCGCGGCCCGGTCGTCGACCAGGCCTCCTGGTTGCTGGACTGATCAACCAGGCTGTTAGACGCGGCTGCTCGCAGCCTGACGTATGAGTCACAGCCTGGTTGATCAGGTATCCTTTGGAGGTGCTTATCCAGTTCTCTCTTGAACACTGTGAGGGGTTTGCCAGTTATGCCCCTTATGTGTAGTGGAAGCGTGTTGAACAGTCTCGGGCCTCTGATGAGGCAGGTGGTGTCAGGGGAGGCAGGTGGGGTCAGGGGAGGCAGGTGGTGTCAGGGGAGGCGGGTGGTGTCAGGGGAGGCAGGCGGTGTCATGGGAGGCAGGTGGGGTCAGGGGAGGCAGGTGGTGTCAGAGGAGGCGGGTGGTGTCAGAGGAGGCAGGTGGTGTCAGGGGAGGCAGGCGGTGTCATGGGAGGCAGGTGGGGTCAGGGGAGGCAGGTGGTGTCAGAGGAGGCAGGCGGTGTCATGGGAGGCAGGTGGGGTCAGGGGAGGCAGGTGGTGTCAGGGGAGGCAGGTGGTGTCAGGGGAGGCAGGTGGTGTCAGGGGAGGCAGGCGGTGTCATGGGAGGCAGGTGGGGTCAGGGGAGGCAGGTGGTGTCAGAGGAGGCAGGCGGTGTCATGGGAGGCAGGTGGGGTCAGGGGAGGCAGGTGGGGTCAGGGGAGGCAGGTGGTGTCAGGGGAGGCAGGTGGTGTCAGGGGAGGCAGGTGGGGTCAAGGGAGGCAGGTGGGGTCAGGGGAGGCAGGCGGTGGAAAGAGGCAGGTGGGGTCAGGGGAGGCAGGTGGGGTCAGGGGAGGCAGGTGGGGTCAGGGGAGGCAGGTGGTGGAAAGAGGCAGGTGGTGTCAGGGGAGGCAGGCGGTGTCAGGGGAGGCAGGTGGTGGAAAGAGGCAGGTGGGGTCAGTGGTGGAAGGTGTTGTCAGGGGAGGTGGAAGTGGAGAGAGAAGGGTGGTGACCACGCATGGCTGCCAAACCTCTCATTCATACTCTATTATAAATCTCAATCTTAGCTGTAAAATATTTATGCCAAAATATGTTAATTTTCGTGTATTAATATACATTATTAATCATTAACACGTTTTATTGTTTCCTGAAGAAAACAATAGCTGACTTGGCATTGTGGTGTGTATGGCCGGGTACCTGGGGGGTGGGGGGGGGTCCTGGAGGTGTGAGTGGAGACCTGTCAACCCATCATTTTTTTTTTGTCGGGCGAGTTGAGATGCTTCCAAGCCTGCTGCTTCAATACACGGTGTGGGTGGTGTGGTATGGTTTGGGTGGTGTGGTGTGGTTTGGGTGTGGGTGGGTTGGTGTGGGTGGTGTGTGGTTGGGTGTGGGGGGATGATGTAGGTGGTGTGGGGTGTGGGGGGGATGATGTGGGTGGTGGTGTGGGGTGTGTGGGTGGTGGTGTGGGGAGTGTGGGTGGTGGGGGCGAATGGTGTTAGTGGTGTTGGGGATGGTGTGAGGGTGTGGGGGATGGTGTGGGTGGTGTGGGGGATGGTGTGGGTGGTGTGGGGGATGGTGTGGGGGATGATGTGGGTGGTGGTGTGGGGTGTGTGGGGGATGGTGTGGGTGGTGGTGTGGGGTGTGTGGGTGGTGGTGTGGGGAGTGTGGGTGGTGGGGGCGAATGGTGTTAGTGGTGTTGGGGATGGTGTGGGTGGTGTGGAGGATGGTGTGGGTGGTGTGGGGGATGGTGTGGGTGGTGTGGAGGATGGTGTGGGTGGTGTGGAGGATGGTGTGGGTGGTGTGGGGGATGGTGTGGGTGGTGTGGGGGATGGTGTGGGTGGTGTGGGGGATGGTGTGGGTGGTGTGGGGGATGGTGTGGGGGATGGTATGGGTGGTGTGGGGGATGGTGTGGGGGATGGTGTGGGTGGTGTGGGGGATGGTGTGGGCGGTGTGGGGGATGGTGTGGGCGGTGTGGGGGATGGTGTGGGCGGTGTGGGGGATGGTGTGGGTGGTGTGGAGGATGGTGTGGGGATGGTGTGGGTGGTGTGGGGGATGGTATGGGTGGTGTGGGTGGTGTGGAGGATGGTGTGGGTGGTGTGGAGGATGGTGTGGGTGGTGTGGAGGATGGTGTGGATGGTGTGGGTGGTGTGGGGGATGGTGTGGGTGGTGTGGGGGATGGTGATTCTCGCATCTCAGATTATTATTGACACCAAAAGAGCATGAAAGATATTATAATGAAGCACCACACAACAAAGAAACAAACTAATGTGTCCTGGCATATGTTTAAAAAAAAAAAAATAAGAAAGTTGTTGGGGCTGGACGGATGGAACGAATTCCGCACTGGAACGAATCGGCTTCGCCCCATATAGTTCGTTCAAGTGAGGACACACTGTACTAAGTCCATTTCCTCATAAAATTTGACTTTGTGTACAAAGTTTGCCTTGTAATACGTGTCGTCTGTTGATACAGTACTTGTATAGGTCAAGCACGTGGTTCTGCTGGACGCAGGGCGGGGCATGCTCAGTTTAACAGTGTACCCCGCCTAGTGATGACCACAGTTGAATTCTTTGTGAAGAATTTCATTGTTTTTCTGCTTTTTTGGTTTCTGAACATAAAAGTTCTTATTATACATCATGCCATGGGTCCAAAGAAATTTAGTGGTAAAGTTCAACCTAAGAAAATAGTTGTAAGTAGAGGCAATAAAGGATGTCCCTTCCTTATTAAGAAAATGTGTACAGTATGGGAAGTTTTGCTGAAAAGACTCACCCAGATAAAGCTGTAGCAGGCTTTCTCTCCCAAACTGCACGCATTAACCTTTTTAATGACAATGTGATGTCTTGCTACAGACAAGTGTTAAAATGGAGGGAAAAACAAGTATCTATTGACAGATTCTTGTTAAGACAAGCAGGCAGTGAGCCACAACCAATGGAATGCACACGTAAGAGAGAGAGTACCCCAGAAATGTTATTACTTCCTGATGTTATAATGGAAGGGGACTCCCCTTCCAAACACTAAGACCTCTCTTTCTCCCCCCCCTCCTCACCGTTTCCATACACCAACAAGAGTCCTCAATAAAGGTAAGGTATAGTAAAAAATATGAGTAGTATTCTGTATAAAATGCATTTTTAATACTTTCGCCCATGAATGACGCAGCATTGCGTCATTTTTTTATTAAATGGAATTCCAGGAACGACGCAGCATTGCATCGTTTCCGGCGGCAAATTGGCGGCGTCTTCGAGAGAGGGGCGGGGGCTTCAGGAGGGGCGCGCCACGGTTTTGGACATTATATGCATACACATCTTGTAGGAAATTTCATTGCAAACACAATGATACCAAATTGAAAGACCTAGGACCAGAATTGAGGTAACAAAGTTGAAAAGAGTATACCATTTTATTGCTCTTTATTAGTGCTCACTGGGGTAACGCTCTGTCACTTTCTCTGTTTGCTGTGGATGGTACGCCTGGCTTTTGGACTTTATATATGCATATAGTCCTGTAGGGAATTCTACTGTGAACACAATGATACCAAAATGAAAGATCTAGGTCGAGAATTGAAATGTCTAAAGTGAAGAGAGTGTACACATTTTATTGCTCTTGCGCGCTCCCGGGTAACACGCTCTCACTTTCTCACTGGGCTTTTGGGATTCATATGCATTTGGTTCTGTAGAGAATTCTATTGCGAACACATTGATATTAATTTGAAAAACCTAGAACGAGAATCGAGATGACAAAGTAGAAAAAAGTAACACTTTTCAGTATTACCGCGCTCTCTAATGTTGAGAGAGGAGCCTTGGGGGAGGCGCCCTGTGGTGCAGCGCTCTCTTTCTGGTAACCTTGGCCCACTTTCATCTTGTCGGCGGGGCATTATATGCATGTACTCCTGTAGAGAATTTCATTGCGAACACAATGATACCAAAATGAAAGACCTAGGACCAGAATTGAGGTAACAAAGTTGAAAGGAGTATACCAACATTATTGCTCTTGATTAGCCCTCACGGAGGGTAATGCGCTGTCACTTTCTCTGTTTGCTGTGGGTGGTACGCCGGGCTTTTGGAGTTTAGATGCATTTACGCCTCTAGAGAATTCTATTGCAAACACAATGATACCAAAATGAAAGACCTAGGACGAGAATTGAGGTAACCAAAGTGAAAAAGAGTGTACACATTTTATTGATCTTGCACGCTCCCAGTTAACTTGTTCTGACTTTCTCTGTTTGCTGCGGGTGGTAAGCCAAGCTTTTGGAGTTTATATGCATTTACGCCTCTAGATAATTCTATTGCGAACACATTGATACCTAATTTAATATCTTAGGACGAGAATTGAGGTGACAAAGTGGAAAAGAGTATACACTTTTCAGAATTACCGCGCGCTCCCGTGAAATGCCAAACGCCACCTGGGGTAGTGTGGCGCTCGCGGGCCCAAAGCGCCAAAGTGTTAAGTAAATATTTTTGGGTGTGGGAAACGGATTAATTCAATTTACATTATTTCTTAAGGGAAAATTCATTTTGGTTTACAAATTTTTGGTGTATGTACGGTCTCTAGAATGGATTAAATTCATAAACCGCCACTGTACTATAAATCATAGCAGCTTGCAAACATTCATGTTTTCTATGCGTGGGTCCATCGGTTAGGTTAGATTTGGGCAATTTAGTATATTTTCTATACATTGTGACTTCTCAAGAAAATGGGCTGCTCAGCATCCTGGTATGCTGGGCTAAGGCTTGGTGGTATTAGAGACAAGCTCGGGGAGCTACTGAAGGATTTCCCCAAAAAATAAATAATTGTAGGATAAATCAAGAAATTTAATAATGTATAACTAACGCCAATTATGGAATGCAACATACCAAGATAAAAAATGCCATCACTAGAACGACATGGAGAGTTGGCCACAAGCTGCGGAATAGTAAATGGAAGTTTCTTCAGTGGTTCACGATTACGGCCTAATGTGTAACGGTACAGAGACCCATCTTGGGGATTGGGAAAGAATTTTGGTCTGTTGAAAAAAAGAAAAAACATTTAAAAATAAAAATTTATAAATTCTCTAAAGCGTCATTAAATGGCAGCAAGAAAGCAAAAGCTGTAAAACAAAGGTAATTTAAATATACCAATTAAAGGCGTACAAAAGGGGTTGCATGTTAAGGTGGTCCAAAAACTACAATAATAGTTTATAGACATTCTTCAATTATGAATAATTCTTCAAATAAAAATAGGAGATAATGTTTTATATCTGCACAATAAGTAAGGATATGGAAAGAAAACAGCTGTTGATAAACCATCATTGAAAAAGATGAAAAAGATTAGATATTTTTTATACTACTGTACTAACTGATGGACCTTAGCTACTTCAAAATGTTAAAAAAAACATTTTCAATTAAAAAATCAATGTTTAACTAAAAGATTACTTCTTGTAACAAAATAAGACACGGGTAAATTAATTAGAGAATGGCTAGTATATAACCTCAGGTTTGAACGACAAATTTTATACTAAAACCTCATAAATGTAACTCACAATGGTGGCTGTGAAGAATCAGTTGGATTAATAATGACTGGATCTGAAAATAAACAAAAACTGTATACTATACCTGGTATCAATTGCAATACAAGCAGCAAATATTTATCTGTTAATAATATGTACAATACCTTATTTCTCATAAAAGCAATAAAAGAACAAGTGTAATACTGTATGAACTCGATTATCCAGATTCTACTAAACTGGATAATGGGGTCATCTGGACAAAATTGCAACCGGATTGTTTTATGTCCATATCCAGATGCATGTTCATAGAATCTGGATGACCGGAGATTTGTCCGGATGCAAATATACATGCAGAGTTTAAATCAAATCTGGATAACTTACTACCAACTCGTCCGTATCTGGACTGAAATCCAGACAACCGGAGATTTTTCTGAACATGGAAGTCAGGCATCTAGCCGTATCATATTAATCCCGTACGGCTGTGGTTCAAGGAAAAGCTGCTCATCGTGGTATAGGTGGTATTGGGGTGGGTGGTTTCAGGGTAGTGGGTGTCGGGAGGGAGGGGAGAGTTGGGAGGGACTGCCTGGGGGATATGGGGCATGTGGAGGGGCCTATAAACTGTTTAAAATACAATTACGTGTGCAATTGTTGGCAAATCCAAGAAACCAAGAGCCTTGCTTAGACAGCAAGGCTCAATGTACACTCATGGTGTACACATGAGATCTTTCTTTCTTGGTTTCAAGTGTTTTGCAAGAAAGTTCATGACCATTAAGTTAAGAAACTCAAAAGTGAGGCCAACCGAAGTTCGGGCTTTGCTGTTGCTTGATAATGCACCTTCACACCCCAGAATTGACACACTAATCTCACAAGATGGCAAGATAACGTGTATGGCACTTCCTCCTAATACCACCTCTCTCACCCAGCCTATGGATCAGGGAGTTTTGTGCCACGAAGAGGTTGTACACCAAAAAGATGTTCGATGAAGTTTTGGTGGTTTTGTCTCTCGAGGAAAATATGGAACTCGGAGTGGATAATGGGGCTAAAAGAACCCTTGAGAATGTGAAGAACTATTCCATCAAGGAAGGAAATTATAACTGGGCCAAAGTGTAGAGTGAAGTAAAGGAATCGACTTTGAAGAATTCCTGGAAGAAACTCCTCCAGTTACAGTCAACAATGAAGAGGAAGAAGAAATGAATTTTCAAGGATTTACAGATGAAATCCATTGAATGTTCAGAAATGCTGGTGAAAATGTAGAAAGACAGGATGTGGTTGAATGGCTAGAGAGAGATGCTAATGACCCAGGATATGATATGATGAGTGAAGAAAAGATTCTCCAGTCTGTTACTGGTGAGGTGGATGAAGAGGAAGAGGATGACAATGGCAATAAGGAACCAACACCACAGACAACAAAATACAGTTTACTCATGTCCTCTGTTGACATGTTAATTAATTTTTCATCCAACTGTGCTAATCCAGAAGTTGGAAACGTGTATCAGTACCTGAGGCAAACCAAAGAGCTGATCATAAGAGAGGCTAACGAACGCAGGAGGCAAGCTAAACTCTATTCTTATTTGATAAGAACTGCAAGCCTTCAGGCAAGCCTAAGAACCTTCAACCAGTGAGGCCTCACAAGCAAGCCAAGGACCTTCAACCAGTGAAGCCTCACAAACAAGTCAAGGTCCTTCAACCAGTGAGGCTTCAGCAGATGGCAGTCAAAACTGATCTTGCCAAGCTCATGTACTGTACAGTAATTTTAAGTGTTAATTTTAGTGTTGTGTTAGGTTAGGTTACATATATTTTCAAGAATTCTTAACTTCAAGATGTGTAGCATTAATCAAGAAGTCGAACTACAGCAAGGTAAGTTGAAGTTTCTGTTTAAAATTAATTACAGTACTGTACTTGAATATGTTATAATTATAGCGTGTGTGTGTGTGTGGCAATTCAAATTATGTTGGTTGTGGAAATAAATTGTGAATATGTTCACTTTTGGACTTCCCCGGTAAAAAGTCTGCTAATATGGATGTCGGGTTTATCTGGATGGGGGTCCTTCCCATATACAGTAGTTTAAATAATCGAGTTCATACAGAATATCAACATCTCGCTTTCATTTATACTGTACTTTCACCCTCATTAATACAATAGGACAAAGTGAATACATTCTCCCATACTACTAAACTGCTCTATTATGCAGAGAATGTCAAAATAATATGGATGAAATAAATTACTCAACCCACACACCTAGTTGTGCTTGCGGGGGTTGAGCTTTGGCTTTTTGGTCCCGCCTCTCAACTGTCCATTAACTGGTGTACAGATTCCTGAGCCTATTAGGCTCTATCATATCTACATTTGAAACTGTGTATGGAGTCTGCCTCCCCCCCACATCACTTCCATCCATTAACTATTCTGACACTGAAAAAGTTCTTTCTAAAGTCCTTGTGACTCACTTGGGTACAGAGTTTCCACCTGTGTCCCCTTGTTTGCGTACCACCCGAACAAGAATGAAATGAAAGTGATGACCAAAATGTTGTCACTTTCATCTCACATGTGTGGGTTGGGTTATATGAGCCATCACCTTTTACTGTGAATCTTTTAGCATTTCTAGAAAGTCACTTATTTCTGAGCTACACCATTCAATTGTTGCCTTAGGCAAGTGGTTTCCAAACATTAAGTTACTATGATACCCAAAAACCAATGCTACCAATATATTAAAACCAATGCTACCAATATATTATTTATATTTCAACATTTGATAAATATGGCAATTTTTAACGTTTTGGGAACCTATTTTACATTTACAGTATAACATCTATGAATAATTATGTTCCAAGTACCGACCGATCAACTTACAGCACAAAATTAGGAACATCACACTTTAATAAGTCAGGGACCCCTTATATGGTATTATAACAACTAATTGAAGGATTGGCAGTACTGTACCATCTTTGAGTGTCCATTTGAGAGCTCCGGAAGATTTGGAAATGGCATGAAGAGCACCATCAAGTGTTGATACCAACAAAGTTCCATCATTATTATCTGCTAAGAGTTCAGTGCTTGTAATCTGCATAATGAAAATAAATGAATAAATTAACAAAATAAGAGCAAACAACAATACCAAGATACATTTCACCAATTACAAAAAATTAAACTTCATTTAACATTTATACAATAGGCTATGAAAGAATTATTCTATATACAGTATTTGACAACAATTATATCATATTTACTGTACATTCTTGTTTTGCAAATAAACAGTCTTCCTGGAAAAGTTATGAATTTAATCCCACAATATCTGAACAGCAAATATGCGAGTTTTCTGAAATGTGATTAAGTTACTTGTTTGTAACTAAGTCATAATTACAAACAAGTAATCATAGTAACATGTTAGTCATTGGAGGGCTCATCAAGCCAGGTTATGCATCAGCCCCCCCCCCAATCCTTGGATCTATACATCCTGAGATACACTATTTAATAAAATGAAATTAAGTGCATGACACTAATTCACTGCCGGATTTACCTAATTTACCTGAGGGCCACTAACTCTAGTGGCCTTGACGAGGACAGGAAGGTCACTCTTGTCGAAGGTCCCCCTACAGTACACACAGGAATCACAATAGCGTGATATAGTATATCAAATGAACAAATCCACAAGGGCCGTGATGAAGGTTCAAACCTACGCACGAGATGTTTACAGCTGCTCCTTAGTCAACTGTGCCATGACATGATTAAAAGAATTGCAACCTGGAGTGCTACTGCCATCACTAGGATCCTGAAGCTTCTCCGAAGCCTAATCAGGTTTTCACACAATTCTCCCATGCACCCGGGCTCCGTCAACCAAATATTCTACCTCTACACCCTTACTTCAATACACACAGATATCACAATAGCGTGATATGTCAAATGAACAAATCCACAAGGGCCATGATGAGGGGTTTGAACCAACATCATGGAACATCCTGTGCACAAGTTCGAACCCACATCACAGCCCGTGTGGACTTGTTCATCCCCCTACAGCATTTGCCTTGATGATCTTTTCCAGGTATATTTTGAAATTCAGCAGTTTTGGCAGTTACGGCTTTAGCGGGTAGCTGGTTCCATGGGTTTATAATCTTGTTGGTAAAAATGCATCTGTTCTCAGTCCTACATTGTGGCTTGTTGAGCTTGAAGCCATTGCTCCTTGTTTGTGTTACATCTGACCTTCTGAAGAAAATATCCAGATCAACATCCTCTAACATGTTCAGTATTTTAAAGTTTCAATGAGATTTGCCTTGTCAAGTGTGGTTTGTAGTGCTGTTAGCTCTGTGGCCTTCAAGCATTCCTGATAAGAGAAATGACTTCACTCTGGAATGACTTTTGTTGCCTGGTGTTGCACCTTCTCCAGAACAGCTATGTCCTGAAAATGAGGTCTCCATCCTTGGATACAGTAATCTAAGTAGGGGGGTGGAGGGGGAACCAGAGATTTATACAGTTGAACCATTACCTTTTCCTTATAGCCAAAAGTACGCTTGATTACCCCAACAGTTTGGTTAGCTTTTCTGACTGCTGCACCCACCTGTTGTGCAACTTTTAATGAGTGGTGGATCTTGACTCAAAGGTCCCTTTCTTCATCAATCTGCTGTAATGTAATGCTATTAATTTGGTGGTCGTGGCGTGGGTTATTATGCCTCACATGTATTGGATTGCATTTACCAATGTTAAAAAGCACTTGCCAGTCTTCTGACCATTTGTGGAGTTCATGTAGCTCTCTTTGTAAGGCTTCAATATCATTATCATTTCCCACTTTACCATAAATCTTTGTGTCATCTGCAAATTTGATGATGTGGTTTGTAAGATTCTCGGCTATATCATTGATGTATATGACAAAAAGGGTAGGTCCCAAAATGGACCCTTGTGGCACCCCACTTATCATTTTTCCAATCAGATTTATTTCTATTTAGCGCAACCCTTTGTTTTCTTTCCTTCAACCATTGTTTTATCCATTCTAATATTTTATCATTTATGTGTATTCCATGGGCCTGTAATTTCCTTGCCAGTCTTGCATGTGGTACCTAATTAAAAGCTTTAGCAAAACAGGTACACTACACCCACCAGAAGGTCTTTGAGTAGCTGGTTACCTTTTCCAAAAATGTGAGCAAATTTGTAAGGCAGGATCTGTTTTTAACAAATCCATGTTGTGTCGATAGTATAAGGTTATTCACTGAAAGATGGTGACTGATTCATCCTTTGAGGATTCTCTCCACGAGCTTGCAGATGTGTGATGTCAAGCTTATCGGCTGGTAATTTTCTGCCGAGCTCTTACTGTCTTTTTTGAAAATAGGGGTAACATTTGTATATTTCCAATCTAGAGAGACTACCCTATCGTGCAGATTTTGTGAAAAGTAGTTTCAGCAGCAGGCTGAAACTACATAAGCATAATGAGCTCAGGAACTGTTCAATACAGTATTCATTTTGTTAAGCAAGTTGGTCTTGAAAAGCTAGTTACATAGTTTAATGTATATATCAAGTTTTTTTTTTATAACAATGGATTCAAGAACTGGACCACAACAATCCCTAAGTAAACAAATTTACATTTGTGGTGAGCTAATTATGTATAACTTGGATGAAAATGTTAAATAACAATAGTAATAATAATTTTTATTAAAAAAAAATATACAGAATACAGTACAGTGGTTAAATAAGTCCCATAAAATGCACATGAACCCATCACCACTATCCACTGGATGGGGGGTCGTGTGCAGAACAAACATCAAATATGAAACTAGCTTACCATATGCTAGTGTTTGTGGCTGTACAAGAATGTAAGAAACTTATATATTTATTTATTTATTTATATATATAAGTTGCTTAGCTTAGTGACTTTTTTTTTTAGATATATACAAGAGTTGTTACATTCTTGTACAGCCACTAGTACGCATAGCGTTTCAGGCAGGTCCCTGGAATACAATCCCCGCCGCGAAGAATCGTTTTTACAACCAAGTACCCATTTTACTGTCGAGTTAAACAGAGGCTACAGTTAAGGATTTGCGCCCAGTAAATCCTCCCCGGCCAGGATACGAACCCATGACAAAGCGCTCGCGGAACGCCAAGCGAGTGTCTTACCACTACACCACGGAGACTATACCTGTAGTCGGTGTCGAACCCATTGATTTAACAATATACATTAAATTTTGGGGAACCAGTTTATCAAGACTAACTTACTGGGCTACATGAAATTTGGGGTTCAGTCCCTGAACTAATTATGTGCTGCTGTAAGCTTTTCCATTACCGCCCACAGGATGGATATGGAGTGCATTATAAATTAAACAAGCCCATTGGTACCACTAAGCATTTCTGACAATTTAAAATAATTCAGTTCTGTTACTGATGTTTAATGAGCTAAACACTTAAAAATAAATAGGAATTAATACTTAATAATTATAATTCATTATCCTAATCCTTGCATCATACTAACCTTTTCCTTAATTTGAGCATTTGTTTGCTTTAGCGCACTACTAAGCTTAAAGGCACAACATATAACCAATGAAACATATGTGACAGCTAAGATCCAAGGTGACTCTCTTTTTGTCCAAAGCATTGCGTCTTGTTAACGTAAGTGACAACGAAGGACTTATGTTACATTATCGTTACTCGTCTTGTTATTTAGGCCTGCAAAGTTAAAACCGCGAGGTGCTTGATAACGTTACATTCCTGGCTGCAGTGTACGCCAAGCCTGATGAAATTAAGGTCACACAACACCACGCGTCACGTCACGTTACCACATCTCAGCTGTTATTGTTGTGGACGTGACGTAGACTGTGAGAGGTGACGGTCGGAGACGCAACTCTCGCCGCCACGTCGTAACGCAGTGACGCCTCTGGTGACGCCGACGCCCGCGCCCTCTCACCCCCGCACACACAACTATGTTCTCACTAAAGAAAATGAAAGATATTTTGGGGAGACTTTTCTGTGAGGAACATGGTGCCGGCTGAGGCGGCGCCCAGCGGCTCTCCAACTGAAAATCACGATACCACAAGAAAAACACGGCGGCACATGGCACATGTTTGGACAAAGATGGTTTTCCGTCCTCTGATGAGAATAACGCAGTATTCCTGGACAGCAGCCATCAGAGTAAAGGAAAACAGACGAGAAGCGCTGGATCCCCGCAGGTTCAGAGGTAAACTTTGGTCATGCCGGCCCCACGAGGTCTACCACTATCCACTCAACCAAGGTAGGCCTACTGCACCATACATTCTCCTTTGACCACCATACCTCGCAACATGTTACAACTAAAGAGCCAATTATGAGGTATCACTTGACATATGTTTTAATTCAGCACACTTTCAACATGAATTTTAATTTCACTCTGGACCAGATATTGGTAGTGACAACAAACATTTCATCTTTAAATATCTAAACTTTCAGCCACCAACCCATCCCCTAACACTCCCAAAGTGGAACATTAAGAGTCTAGATCTCCCATTACATCATAGTGCCAGAATTAATATCAAACACGTACTTTTCACCCATAAAATACCTTTCAACATCGAACATATATTAGGGGGAAGATATCTCCCATTACATGTAAAATGTCAAATAGCTACTGCATTGGCTAAATATCTCCAGTCAACCAAAAAACTGGGCCACATTTAATTTGTACATATACCTCAAACCACGACAACCAAACAAAGAAGACAAATACCTCACAACGAACGTAATAATGATCAGCTGACTCCATAAGCATAACATCCAGCCCTTTTTTTTGTTTGCCTTAAAGTGCATCACGTTTACTCCTCAAGTTTTTAGTTTAGTTCATTTATTATGCACCCCATACCCATCTTGTGGGCGGTAGTGGATTACAGAGGCACATAATGGGCTCAGGGACTGAACCCCACAATTCATTTAGCTAAGCAAATTACAATCTTGATGAGCTAGTTACAAAATTCAGTATAAGTCGTCACATCATCAATGGGTTCGAGATCGACCACAAGTACAGTTTCTAAATTAAGCAACTGACATATGTGAAGAGCTAGTGTCACAATTGATATGTTTGTCCTGCACACCGCCCCCCCCCCCATCCAGTGGGCAGCGGTGGATAGGTTACAATCACTTAGTTACTACCTACAGTTAGCAAACTGGGGATAGTTGGCTAAAATTTCTGGTAGCAGATAATTTTGAATGAAATATTTACACATCTCTGGAACATTTGTTATAGAATTGTCTCTAAATTCACGTATCTTTTCGCACTCCATCACATAGTGACGGAGGGTGTGCGAATAATTTTGTTGACACAGTTTACATTTGGTCAGGTCTACATGAGCAGATAATGAGAATTCCCAGAGATACTTGTAACCGAGTCTAAGCCGAGCAGTAGTAACATTTAGAAGTCTGCTGATTTTATTGGATGATCCATAGATGTGTGGCTCCTCTTGCATGATAGTATGATGATAGATGGAATTACTGGTGTCAATTTCACTTTGCTTCAGATCTACAAGATCTTGTTGAAGTTCTCGGTGTACTGCTGCTCTCAGATTGCTCATTGACAATCCAAGGTTACACTCAACGGCTCCTTTAAAGGCAGATTCTTTGGCTAACTCATCAGCTCTATCATGCATTCGGAGGCCAACATGAGATGGAGACCACATGAAATGGACTCTGTTACCATCTTTAATAATTTTGTTGTATTTGTGTCTAGCTTCAGACACGAGCATGTTACAGTTATGTCTTAAAGAGTTGAGAGCAATTAAGGATGATAAGGAGTCACTTACAATTAATGTATCAAGTTTGGATACTTGTACACATTTCAGTGCAAGGAGCAAGGCAAACAGTTCGGTCTGAAGGGTAGAGGCCCAGTTGTTTGTGCAGTAGAACACACAAAATCCTATAAAGAATTGGATGTCGTGAAATAACGCCCCAGCAGCGTGAAGTAGTTCCCGGGGCACAGTGGTGAAACACTCACCCGGCGCTTCGCCAACGCCTTGGCTTGGGTTCGTATCCTGGCCGAGGAGGATTGACCGGGTGCCAATCCAAAACTGCAGCCTCTGTTCACCCAGCAGTAGTTAGGTACCTGGTTGTTAAACGATTTGGCGCGTCGTATTCCAGGGAAAAATCTAGATTTAGGACCGGCCCGAAACGCTGTGCGTGCTAGTAACTTTACAAGAATGTAAGAACTATAAATAAATAAATAAATAAATAAATATATAAATAAATAACATTACTGAGAGTATAACTGAGCTAAATGAAACACGACTGCATTGATTAAATATATAAACAATATAGAAAAATTACCACCAATATATTTGATAAAGTTATTATGGAGCAAAGCCTAATTCATGTCAAATATTTTTCCCGCTTTTCTTTTTAATGGTAGTTAATAATCGATACAAAAAATATTCCTGCTGTTGACAATAATGAAAAACACATAAAATTGATTGACGTTTCCCAGAAGGTGATCATTCAGCAACAGACAGGGTGACGGGGTGTGGGCGTTGTGACGTCACTACTGGCAGTCAGTAAATTACTAAAGAGTAAACATGATCTAAAGAACAAACAAAATGAGGCGAAGGTTGAACAGTTCGGCCCACTGACATATTCGATTTTACCGTGTTGGAGGAGGGGAACGAACCTGGAGGAAGAGGGATGGCGAAATTGGAAAGAGGGTGGCGAAAATGGGAGTATTTAAGCCAGGAGGAAAGATAAAATAAACAAAGCCCAGAGATATTTCAAGATTTTACACGACCAAAAATTCACTCCAAACATTTACCACCTACGGGCTACTCATGCCCGTGCCACTTCTTGTGGGGGCTTAATCTTCATCAACCAATAAAATAAAATCTCGAAAGGAATCCACAGGAAAAATTGCAGTTCGGTTGTATATAGACTACAAGGTAGGTAAGGGGGCCTAACAGCTGAGTGGACATCGCTTGGGATTCATAGTCTTGTGGTTCTAGGTTCGATCCCTGGTGCAGGTGGAAACAAATGGGAAGAATGACTTTCACTCTGACGCCCCTGTTCACCTAGCAGTAAATAGGTACCTGGAAGTTAGACAGCTGCTACGGGCTGCTTCCTGGATGTGTGTAACAAAAAGGAGGCCTGGTCGAGGACCGGGCCGCGGGGACGCTTTGCCCCGAAATCATCTCAAGGTAACCTCAAGATCTCATGATAGGTTACAGATGCAACTGGGAAATTAGTGAACCGAGAGAGTGGGAATGCATCTTTTGGCAAACGATCACAGAAAATCCACTACTTCAATATCTCCTGGAATGTGAAGCAAACAAGGCCTTAGAAGAGCTCTAAGGGTCCCTGAATCTTGTAGTAACTACCCTGTAACCATTAACACTGCCACTTTTTTAGTCTAAACAGGTGTCCAGCAGCTGGACACCCTCATAGAAAACTGTCAAGCAGTATCCTCCCCCGGGATAGTATGCACATAGAAAGACTGTACTTTAATTGCGCCCTCAGCACACAGTATTTCCTTTCTCGACTAAGGATTACATTCACTCCAAACATCTACCATTTACGGGCTACTCATGCCCTTGCCACCTCTTGGGTGGTTTAATCTTCATCAATCAATAAAATAAATGGGTTGAAATTTAAAATAAATAAATGAAAGGGAATGCATCATAATGTTGATTTCTGTTGACATTTAAGGTTATTTAAAGCTGTGGCCCATCATAACCAAGTTAAATTCTCGATTCCGCTGTCTAATTCCATGCAGTATCCTGCAAAATTTAAAATAAAATGTCTGCATATTTGTAGAGATTTGAGTGTAAACATTGATTTTGTCAGGGAATCCAAGACGTTCTCTCTTCTTGCATTACCCGTGTTGTTCAGTGAATAAAACTATGCTGTACAGATATTTAATTAAAATCATCTGCTAATGAGTTGTAAATATTACAGAGCTCCAGAATGATATGATGACAACACATACATGAAGTTTAAATCCTGTGCTTAAATATGCATGAGTCGTGTTTATAATGTGTTCAAATCTAGTATTTGTTTAGAGCAATACATGTGAGTGTGTGACTGTAATATTAGTAAGAGTGAAGGCGTGTGTCTGGTGTTAACGTTTTACCACAACTGAATTTATCTTAAAATCATAGAAATACATTTCTTTAGGCTACATTGTTGAGCAGGCGCTGGCGATCCTGCGAGTGATGTAGCGTGTAATTTGAGTTGTATAACAGTGATTATTACACAGTTGCTGTTATTATTAGGTTACATTTTTCCAAGTATTGCTGGGTAATATTGAACCTTACGGCGATAAGTCATTTGCATGATCATAATTTCATTGCATTATTCATTTTTTGGAAGGCTACACGAAGTAAATTTTATACAATATGAAGCATCGTTAACAATAGTAATATACAATTTCTTAAAGGTTTTGATTGAAGCTATTGATCATATTAACCTGTCCTTACACTTATTACATCGCGATTTTTACACTATCAACACGTAAAACTGCAACATTGGTGAACATGAATTAATGTTATACTGAAACATCCTCGGAGTAAGGAACATCGCCCTTTGTGAGTTGGGTGTCTTCACTAGGTTCACTGAACGCTCCTAATACGCAAAAGCAATTAAATGTTACAATTCTCAAATTGCGAGAACTGCTGCTCTAAATTGTCCAGTTTTCAGTCCAAAACTCTGAATTGTAAGCCTACTTTATTCTGTGTGTTCTGTATCCTCGTACGTATCTAGTTGTTGTTCATCTTACTATTTGATCCATACTTTTGTTTTATTTGATACAGTTGGATATGTAGGCATATAATATATATATATATATATATATATATATATATATATATATATATATATATATATATATATATATATATATATACACAGTGGTGTTATCATGCTCTTGGAAGTATGAA